CCGATCGTATATCCCGCGGCAAGTGCATTTATACCAATATTAATTCCCGCAAAATATAAGGTGTATATGGTATTAGCTAACTCACTTGTTTCTAGACCAAGCTGTCTACATACAACACTAGCATCAGTGTTGTCCCAGGAGTCATCACAGACTGTACTCCACCTTCCATTTTGACACAGTTCTACTCTTCCTTCAGTTGAGCTTGATCCATTAACAAGACGCACAGTACCAGGAGTACAAACTAAAGTATTAAACCCATTATACTTAACAATACAGTTTGACTATGAAACTAACCATGACAAGCTACTCCAGCATCCTTAGAGTGTCCACAGTTGTGGGTGGTTGAATGTGTGCAGTTTGTCAATAACTGCTCAGTTCCTAAGCACTGAACATTATCCAGGTGGATAACAGCACCCTGACTAAAGTAGGCAAATGATAGAGGGCTTCCACCTGTGATAATCACTATAGTTGCCAAAACTATGAGAAATCAACTCACTTGTTCCCCAGCCTAGTTGTCTACAAACTACTGCTGCATCAGTGGAGCCCCAGTTATTATCACAGACAGTGCCCCACAATCCATTATTACACACTTCCACTCTTCCTTCCCAATGATGTGAACCACCAATAAGTTGAATAGATCCAGCAGTACATACTGTAAAAAAAATTGCAATTTTCCTCTTTACATGTAGCTGAAAATATTGGCAAGGAAGTAATATGGGTGGATTGCTTAATGATGACAGACAAAATCCACCAACTGCAATTCTTAACAAAATCACCAGCCACCAGACTTAACTCCTGCCAATATTTCCAGCTGTACAATATATCAGACATTACTAAAAAATTTCATAGTTATACTCTATACATAAATGTCTCATCCTATTAAATCTATAATGTAGACCTACATGTAACTATAACTCTTAATGTATGCATCACAGTGAGTAGAAATGTAAATACCAAAATTAAGATAATGATGAGTGCAATACGTATTTAATTGCATTCATCATCACAGTGATCATATTGAACAAATGTTAAAACAAACAGGAAGAAATAAACAAACACATGAACTAACATTGCCTTGCATCATAATAAATAATGAAATGCAAAAGTATGGTGAAAAGTGCCTTATATATATATATCAAGAGTATATATATACCTATAAAATTTCAAATTGAGGTCCATTCACCAAAGTTTCAGTCTCCATTTTTTACAAGACACTGCATGTTGCAGCATGATTATAGTTGAAATTTTAACCTTTGAACCACTTTTAGAGTCAGTTTGCCAAAATTGACACTTCAAATCTTCGAGCTATTATTATAACTTAAAGCTACAGTTACACGTATATACCTTCTAGTACCAGCAAAAGGAGAGTAGTGCATTGGTATATGTTTTTTACAACAGAACTAGTAATTCAAAAGTTAGAGTAAGAATATGAGAGCATCAGGTACAGACTAGGTGTTGTGAAACATCAGCAAATGTATGT